GGTGCAGGGTGAGGTGGCCCGCATCGGCTGTGGCCAAGCCTGCCCAGACGATCCTTTCTGCCCATGCCCAACCCTCAGCAGGATGCCCCAGGCTCACCGAGGGCCTCTCCACACTCCCTTTTTTCCTGCCATTCTTGCCTGGAATGACATCCAGTGAGCGGTAGCTGGGTGGCTTCTCCTCAGGCCAGTTTGGGGAGTGTGAGCGGTGGTGGCTGGCCCTCCAACTTCGGGAATGTCTCTGCCTCTCCTTCTCTTCCTCAGAGCTCCAAGAACTGATGCCTGAGGGCAACGGTGGGGAGTAGCTGCGGTGCCTGCGTCTTCCGTGCCTCTGGGCGGTCTCCCGGGAGCTGGGTCTATGAGGCCTCTCCCGATAGTGGCTCCTGAGATGGGGGCGGCTCTGCCGCCTAGATGCTTCGCTGGATGAGGGGCCATCGCTGAGGCTGTCCCTGTCTGACCAGGGTGTGGGTGACCCATTCAGCCTGGAGCCATGGTGCCTTCTACTCCGTGGGTGGTCCAGCCCCCTTCTCTCCAATGCCCAGAGCTTTGAACCCCGGTGCTGCAGCTCCTGGTGGAAATCAGAGTAATAGTGCTGCCCTCTCCCCTCCCTCAGATCCCAGGGTCTGGAGGGAATGGGGCTGAGCTGCTGCTGGTGTGAGGAGTCACTGGTTCTCCTGGAGGATGGCAGGTCTCTGATCAGTGGGGGCAGGTGGATGATTCTGCGCTCCACCACCTCAGAGCCCAGGGAGGACAACATGCTGCAGGGATGGCCAGATCTAGCCTTGAGGTCAGGGGGCAGAGGCTGGGCCAGGTTGAGGTTCCGTAGCTCCTTCTCCAAATATTCCAGGACACCATTGGTGATGGGAGGGTAAGCGGCGGTCTGGGTCATCGGCATCTGTGGGAAGCTGGATCGTAGGGATACGTCTGAATGGAAACAAGGACAGAACATGCACAACTACTGGCCCAAACCATGCTCCTTGGAATCAGGACATGAAAATGTCAGGTTATTTAGCTTGACTCCCGTCCCTCCCATCCTCATTGGTCACGGAGATACCCACTATACTGGTCATGGAGACCCAGTGCAGCCCATGTTCCTGCCCTTACCCTCTGCCCTCCCACCCAAACCTCTGGCAAAGTTTACCTCGCTGCAGCAGCGGGTTCATTGGATAAGATGAAACCTGGGAGCTCTTGTCCGCCCCCCAGTACAGGGGTTTTTCCATCATTTGAGGACCTAAGGCCTGAGCCTGTTTCATGTAGCGATGGCGGGCCAGGGCTGCAGGGGAAGAGGGAGAAATGCAGACCCTCAGCCTGGGCAAGCCCCACACCCCCCACATCACCTCTCTCCACCTGGTGGTCTTGCCAGCTTTTCACCTCTCTTGCATGGAAGTAAAGAGTTAAGGGAGTAATAGATCAGCCATCTCCCTGGCAAGGATCTGGGAATAAACTTCCTATAGATAAGGCTACAAACTCCTGCAGCCCGTCAAAGTATATATTTATTTGTTTGTTTGTTTTTGCTTCAATTTTGTCAGAGGGCACATGTACTCACTGGAGAGAGAGAGAAAAAGAGAGGGAAAGTGAGAAAGCACCCCCGTAGGGAATTCTCATGCCACAATCCCTTCTCCTCCATTTCTCCTTCCTTGTGGGATTGTAGGCATGCATGCACACGTCCCCAGTGCATTCCTTGAGCTACTAGGTCCAGGACTTGAACCATGAAGTCAGCTATGTGGGATCCAATCACCTTAATCAGCATGCCGTGCACTGACTTGGGAAGTATATTCTGACATCCTAGCCTCAAAGCCATTTCACCATCCTCCCCACTTCCCAGGTCACTTAAAATTCAGGTCGATACATAGATGCTAACAGACAATGAAATCTTGGGTCATAGACCAACACAACCAGAAGCCACAGGCCAGAAATAAAAGGTATAGATGCAAAAGGCTTAGAAGAGGCTCTGAGTAAGGGGCTGGGGGCTCTCGGGGCATTCCAGGAAAGCACATAACTGTGTGTTCAGAGTAGAAGAAAAAAGGAAGGACATGAGACTGAGGTCACTGTTGGCAAGAGATGGAGTGTTTCTAGCTGGTATACCAACCATGTGTGGGAGAAAGCCTGAGGGGGAGGCGAGGCAGCACAAAAGCTGAAGTGGATCCCATCCTATCGGATCATTTCAACTCTTCTTCTGACCTTATTAAGTTTTGGGGTTTTCCCTAAGCAGGGGGAATCTCTAAGGGGTGGAGTGGGGCAGGGAAATACCAGCTCCTCTGAGGACACATATTCACACAAAATATTATCTATCTAAGGGGTCCATAGAAATGTCCACCCAGTGCCCTAGTCAGCTGGCCTGAAGCATACAGCTCATAGTAGGTGTAAATTAAAAACAAAAGCATTTAGTTATTGTTCATGAGTTTCTATTTTGGGGTAATCGTGGCTGAATGCCACATGTCTCCCCAAATCTGCACCTATCCACGCGTGCAGGAAATGTACACATGCCTGTTTAAGGCCCTGTCTGCCTCAGGCAAGCCTGTCAGCACAGGCCCCCCCGCCTGGCACTCCCATCTCCCCCTTGGTTCCCCAGGCCCTATGACCACCCTTAGAACAGCAGGTCAAGGGAAGCCTCAGGGTTTCCCAGCACCCTAGGAGAAGGCAGAAGGCAGGCGTCCTGGACTCAGCTATATATGGTGAGGGATTTGCTGAGGCTAGTGGCAAAGGGGCCACAGGGAGGGCTACCCACTGGTTCCAATGTGAAATAAATTTCCAGCCTAACAGGAAGAGGTTGTGGCAGAGTCCCCAGAAGTGTCCAGAGCTCTAGCCCTGAATGGTGAGTCACAGCCCAGCCTAGAAGAAATCAGATGCAAACTTGGAGCAGCTCACCCAACTGCCACACCTTCATGCCAACTGACAGCTCTCCAATCTCCCTGAAGCCAAGTCCCAAGGCTCAGTACATTCCTTTCCCTCCGGCTACTAGTGGCCCCCATACCTCCCTCTACTGGCCACCATCAGCACAGACAATACTCTGCTTAATGATACATACCAGTCATTTTACATAACTAACTAATCCTCTGAGAAATCTCTTAATGAATGTGGAAATCAGATTAGGCTGCAGAAGTTAGTTTCCCAGCACAAGGTCCCACAGCTAGTGGTTTGCAGAACCAGGGTGTGAACACATGTGTGTCTGACACCTAGTCAGTGCTTTTCCTGCCGTATCATTGAGTCCTAAGACTTCTTTGTTTTCTGTGAAGTCCAAAAAAAATCTTAACCAGGGATATCTTCTCAGTTTACTTCTCTCCAACTCTTCTTCATACCTTTCCAAACCCACTCCAGACTAGTCTACATTTCTGAAGCACAGATGTTATCCGGGCATGTCTGATCCTACTAGGAATAGCCCTGCCCTCAGCCACCCTTCAGTGGAATCCTGGCTTCTTCCAGATAGTACCATCCCCTCACCTGGCCACTTCTTATTCCTACTTTCTTTTTTAATTTTTTTAGAGAGATATTTTTGCTATAGGGTGCATGCGCTTACTGGAGAGACAGAAAGAAAGCAAGAAATCACTCCCTAGGGGGATGGTCACACCACAATTTCTTCTCCTCCGTTCTCCTCTCAGGATCGTGGGCATGCATCCACACACACCCAGTGTGAGTTTTAAGGCTCTGGGTCTGAGACTCAAATCACAGTTGACTATGTGGAAGTTCAGTGACGTAACCATCACACCATCTGCTGGTCCCTCTCCTACTTTCTTATTCAATAGGAGAGAATGAAGGACTTGGGCTTACACCTTGCTCCCCAAATGATATTTTTCATTAAAATACCTACTTCACAGATAACTCCCCTAGTGGCTTTTCTAGATCCTTCATTAGCTTTTCTGTCATTCCTCTAATTTTTTTTTAACATGGTACAGAGATTAATCTACCTGTTCCCTTTGTAGCTGCTACAATCCTTTTCCAGGGCCCCTCCCTTTCTTGTTGCACTAGAACTGATGAGACATGATGGAAGACACCGTCTTTGGGCTTCTCCCTTGACTGCCCTGTCCACAGGATGTCTGTACCATCAGGGATATCTGTTGCTCGCCTAATAAGAAATCATGTTAAAGGGACCAGCAGTTAGCGTAATGGCTATGTCGCTGGACTCCCATGTAGTCGACCACGGTTCGAGTCCCGGACCCGGTGGCTTAGACTCACGCCGGGCGCGTGTGCATGCATGCCCAGGATTCCGAGAGGAGAATGGAGGAGAGGGGATTGCCGTGTGGCCATCCCCCCTGGGGGGGTGATTTCTCACTTTCTGTCTCTCTCTCTCTCTCTCTCTTTCTGGCGAGCGCACGCACCCTGTAGCGAAAACCTCTCCAAAAAAAGAGAAAAAAAAAAAAAAAGAAACATAGAGAAAGCAATGAAGCTTTGAAAAATTTCAACAACTAATCTCTGTGAATAAAGCTTGCCTTCATCACCTTTAATGAGTCTCCCAGAGACTCAGTTGGTCCTAATGCAAGGCAAGAAAAATCTGAATTTTCAGCAAGCTCCCTGATGCTAATACCGGGAGTCGACATGGAGTTGGCTGTTGAGAATTCTCAACAACATTCTGAGAAATATGGTCTTCAGGGACAGTTTCTTTAATATGGGCTTTCAGAGTCAGGTGGACTTCAACTTGAATCCCAGAATGCACTAGCTTTGTGACTTTGACTGTTTCCAGTCTGAGCCATTGCCTCATCTGGGGGCAGGATAACAGTAGGTCTTCCATAGGTTGTTAAGGTTAAATAGGTGAAACACATGAAATTCCTAATATATGACATGCTCAACAGATAGTAGCTCTTGCCGTCATAATAAATTGCTTCTGTTGCCTTAGATTCTGCAACAAGAGACAAACATATTTGGAGCTGAAACTGCCAGAGGATATGAATCTTTATCTCCACAGAAAACTCAGGGCATATTCTCTAATACACTCAACACCTCATCCTCCTCCAGAGCCCTGCACCTCTTCAGTCCTGCAGCCAGCATAATCTATGTGCATCACCTCAGAGAGCTGCAACTTTACTTACTGCAACTGGTTTCCATTCTTCACCACATTCTCTCCACTCTTCAGAACTTTTTTTTTTAAGTTTCTTTTTTTTTTTTTTTTTTTTGCCATAGGGCACATGCACTTGCCAGAGAGAGACATAGAAGGGAAAGTTAAAAAATTACCCCTGAGGGGGCTGATCACAGTGCAGTCACTTCTCCTCCACTCTCCTCTCATGATTTTGGGCATACATGCACACATGCCTGGTGTGTTTTTCAAGCTGCCAGGTCCAGGACTTGAGCCATGCAGTCAGCCATGTGGAATCCAACCACCTCTACTTCTACCACTTGCTAGCCTCAGTCCTTTCACTTTTTCAGTCTTTCCTGACTTGTCTGGACTGTCATTTCAGTGATATCCTTAGGAACTTCCTTTGAACTCTTGACATTTTAGCTTTAAGGAACCAGACACAGATGCTTCTGAGTAAGTGACCTCAAATAGCCCTCCTGCCCAGAGAACTTGCTTTGACTGAGCTATTAATCGATATTAAAGGGATGATAGAAGGTATGGCTGTTTCCAGTGGAATCAGATGTCCCCACGTCATGGGGACATAGCCTAGCCGAAGTGGGTTTAGAAAGGTATAGAGCTGTTTCCCTATGGCAGTGGCTTAAATATTCTTCACTTCTCGGATCTTCTCCTTCCCATAAACCTTCAGCTACTGAGGAATAGGAACCAGCCCTGGATGAGGGGTCAAGAGACCTAGGTCCTCTCCACGGTCCCCACTAACAAGGTATGTGTAATTGTGAAGATCGCTCTAGGCCTTACTTCCCTCACCTGTTGGAGACAGGGGTGGGGAAGGACAGATAGATCAGAGGTTCTCAGTGTGGCCCACAGACCGTGGAGGGCTTACCTGGAGGTTTTCTGGGGAGAGGGGTCGGTAACTGACCTAGGGATGAAAGCTGTTTTTCCAGTTCTCACAGAAAAAAATAGGTTCAATTCAAAAACTTTCATCTTTAAGTCCTACTGAGGGTTATTCATTAATACTTAATTTTTTTCCCTCTTTTTTACTGCTAGAGGGCACATGCACGTGAGCAAGAGAGAATCCCTAAAGGGGCATGGTCATGTCACCAGCCCTTTTCCTCCTTTTCTCCATCCTGTCAAGATTCTGAGTGTGTGCACATGTGCACACATGGCCAGTGTGTTTAAGCCGCCAGGGCCATGATTTGAATCACAATTGACCATGTGAGATCCAGTCCCAATACACAGCACTTAACCACTGCACAACGGGGCCAGCGATGGGACTAGTTCTCTTTGAACTCTGGAAATTGAGAACAGGTTGGGAAGGGGGGGCTGTGGTCAGAGAAGTTCAAGAATCACTATCTTTCTTGAAGCTCCCTTCTGTGTCTAGAATACTGATTTGTAAAAGAGACAGGCTGATGTGAGCTCTCTCGGCTTCCTCCCCTATACCTTAATCATCCTCCACATTTTAATGACTTCCTCTCTCTTCAGAGGTCAGATTGCCTCCCTTCCCTTCCCTTCCCTTCTCTTTCCTTCCCTTCCCTTCCCTTCCCTTCCCTTCTCTCTCTAAGGCTAGTTCTGTCGTGTATCTGCCTCATACCACTACCACCAGCAAATATCACTTACCAGTGATCACCTTACTTTTGTTTTCTACCTCTTTTTCTGTTTTGTTTAAATTTATTTACATATTTCTTTATGGACAAGAGACAGAGAGACAGCACCCCCAACAGAGTCCAGAGAGACAGCACCCCCAACAGAGTCTTGGCATCATGATCCACCCCTAGCCTCAGCCAGTCTCAGATCATGGGCACGCACATATCTGACGTATTCAGGAAGGTCTGTGGACACTCTCTCAGAAAGAAAAAAACATTTTCTTATTGTTTACAAGTAAACAGTTCTTTATTGTTTACTAAATGCCTTCATATACCTATTATATAGTACTTACATCTTTTTCCATTATTTATTTATTTTTAAAATTTTATACATTTAACTATACATCATTTTGCTTGTAAGTTGAATTCATCTCATTTCTTTGCTTATAAGAATGCTTAGGTTTTATCTGATGCTTAAAAAATCAAAATCCTTCTCCTTCACCCAATCAGAGAGATTTTCCGTCATTTCCTTAACACCTCCTGCCCTTCCATGTGATTCCTCTTGTTACCAAAGTTCTCAGGACAGTCTGTCCTGGTGACTCACTTCGAAAGGACTTTTGTGGCCTGTTATTTCTTTATCTTACTAATTCTTTTAAATGAACCACTTAGGAGAAACCACTTTCCCCCAGAACCTCTGCCTATCAGCCCACTGGTGGTGAATACATTTATCCCTTGTGCTAGCATTCTCCCCAGTCCTGTCTGTGCTTAGTCTTGGGGACTCGAAGAAGATGAGGGTGTTTCTCATCTCATCGTACATAGTCACTACTGCATTGACAGTGACGTCTCTCAGGCCTCTGTGGAAGGGAGCCCCACAGCCCAATATTGAGTTCTCTATTTCATTCCCCTCTTCTTTAAAGACAGGGTTCATGGTACCTCTGCCAAGCCCAGAGTAATCTTCACACAGAGCTGTGACAACCTCTTGTGGGAATTGCAGATACTCACACATCGACGAATAGCGATTCAAAACTGCACTGCTTCAGCTACTTACTGGCCGTGTGACTTCACTGACCTTTAGTCTTCTCAACTGTAAAATAGGGATGCTATCTGCCTTCTAGGGTTGTTGTGAGGATTCAAGAAGGAAATGTACGCAACGGACCTACACAGAGTAGGCAGCCAATAAAAGTTAGTTCTCTTTTCCTGTAAAACAGCAGCCTGAAACCAAACTCAGACCACTGACCTTCTTGACATTGTAGATTAGGTTTTGTTTCTATCTTAATGAGTAATTCCTTATTTGCCCTTTAAAAATTGTTCTTTTAAGTGGGTAAATAAGAGTGGTTATCCCTCAGTACTCAGATTAGACTTTACATTTTCCTCTATTTCTCACATTGTTTATATCGTAGCACTTTACTTATTATCATTAGGAAAGTGAATTTTTTTAAAGAGAGTTTTTGTTGTTGTTGCTGCTATATGGCATATGCGCTTGCTAGAGAGGCAAAGAGACAGAGAGACAGAAAGCGAGAAATCACCCAGAGAGGAGGGCCATGCTACAATCCCTTCTCCTCCATTTTCTTCCTGGGATCTTGGACACGTACGCACACACACTCAGCATGAGTTTTAAGCCGCTGGTTCCGGAACTCAAATTGAGGTCCACTACATGGGAGTCCAGCAAAATGACCATTACACCATCTGCTGGCCCTGAAAGGGATTTTTTTTTGAAAAACAAAGACTTCCTTTTTTTCTCTTCCTTTCTTTTCTTTCCGATTTTTTTTTTTTTTTGGAGAGGTTTTTTGCTATAGGGCGTGTGCGCTCGCCAGACAGACAGACAGAGACAGAGAGACAGAAAGCGAGAAATCCCCCCCCCCCCAGGGGGATGGTCACGCCGCAATCTCTTTTCCTCCATTCTACTCTTGGGATCTTGGGCACGCATGCACACGTGCCTGGCGTGAGTTTTACGCCACTGGGTCCAGGACACGAACCGCGGTCGACTACGCGGGAGTCCAGCGACATAGCCATTACACTAACTGCTGGTTCCCCCCTTTTTTTTTTTTTTTAAGAGGTTTTTGCTACAGGGCATGTGCACTCGCCAGAAAGACAGAGACAGAGAGGCAGGAAGTGGGAAATTACCCAGCCCCCAGGGGGGATGGCCATGCCACAATCCCTTCTCCTCCATTCTCCTCTCAGGATGTTGGGCATGCATGCACATGTGCCCGGCATGAGGTTAAACCACCGGGTCCAGAACTCGAACCGCACTTGACTATGTGGGAGTCCAGCGACATAGCCATTACTCCAACTGCTGGTCCCTAAAACAAAGACTTCTATTTAAAGCAGTTGACCCTGCTTCATCTATTTATTAAGAAAAATCTTTGTAGAACAATTTTTTATTCTTTGGCATTTGCCATGTATTCCACAGACAAATTTCTAAGAGTATGTCATACTTCTAATTTAAAGGATCAAATTTTAGCCCAAAGAAAGATCACATTAAGAGCAAAATCTGGCCCCTCTTCCCTTCTTCTAAACTTCTTTGGATTCTCAAAGCACAGTTCCCAGCCAACTAGCATTATATCACTTGGGAACTTTTGAGAAATACAAATTCTTCAGCCTCACTCCAGACTAACAGAGTCAGAAATTCTGGAGATGGGACCAGTAAATAAATTTGAACAAACCCTCTAGGTGATTCTAACATAAGGTTCAGCTTGAAAAACCATTGATTTCTCACCTGTCTCTTCTGTGTTCAAGTCATCTCTAAGAAGTGGTATGATTTTATGATATAGTAACAAATACATATTTGGGGGACCAACAGATGGTATAGTGGTTACGTCAGTTCAAATCCCAGACCCAGTGGCTTAAACTCACACTGGGTACACACGTGCCCAAAATCTCAAGAGGAGAATGGAGGAGAAGGGATTGCGGCATCGCCATCTCCCCGAGGGGTGATATCTTGCTTTCTATTTCTCTGTCTCCCTCTGTCTCTCCAGTGTGCACGTGTGCCCTATTGCAAAAGTCTCTCTCTTAAAAAACAAAAAACAAAAACACAACAAAAACCGAAATACATATTTGGTCTCCACTCCTGGTTCTTAGCACACAAATCCTAAAAACACTAGAATCTCAGGAGAGATGAGTGCCTTTTGTATGCTATTGAGATGACTGGTATGTGGGGAAAATCCCCATGTATCTGGTATCAGAATTGTTGATGTGTAAGCAGGGAAAAAAAACAAACAAAAAAAAAAACAAAAACAAACAAACAAACAAAAAACTGTGGCCTTCTCTCTTATTGCTTCATTTAGACCACTCCCTCCAGCTACCTCACATCCAAGAAGGGTCAGTGCCAAGAGCAGACACAAGCACAGGCTTATTAGGGCCACTAAGGAAATGGCATTGGCAGGCAGAGCTATCTGGAAGAGCCTTTAGGCAGCCCAGCAAGTGGACAGGCAGAAGTCCTCATATCAACTTCCTCCCATGTAGCTCTACAGCTTCCCCAACCATCATTTTCAAGGCTGAAGCTAATGTCCTCTGAGCCTGTGGTAGAGAAGGGCATGGGGAAGAGACTGGGAGGACCTTTGATCTGGACATGTGAAGTGATCTGCTTGGGGACTGGGCCCTACTTGTCCCATTGCTTGTCTGATTCTTCTCACCTTCTTCAGGGCAGCAACAGCGGGTGGGACAGCAGGGGCAGCGGATGTAGCAGCAGCAGTACTGAGGACAGCACTGGCACCAGCACACTCCAATCAGCAAGAGGAGGAGGAGGGCTCCCAAGACAATGAAGATCACTGTTAGCCAATCTGCAGGGAGAAGCCAGCAGGAGTCATACTAAGTTTTCGAGAGAAATGCTCCCAACTCCAACATTCTAGAGGTCTAATCAATATAGGTCTTGACCTACAGGTTAAGGTTGAGTGATTTACTGGCAAAACCAAAAATTTCAGGTTTGATATGAGAACTTGAAAAGTTGACAATCCAATGACAATCACTTGGCTGCTTTGTTTTTTAAATCCTCCCATATGTAAAAGAATCACATTGGTAGGGTGGCCAAATATTAATAGAATAGAAAGCTCCAGCAGCACTTACGTAAGACAATGAGCTTCACTTCTTTATCTGGGTCTCCTGATGTATCTCCTGGAGCCTCAATGGTGCAATAATATACTCCATGGTCCCACCACATCACTTCATTAATCACAAGATCTGCTCCTACATAGGAAGGAGAAAGTGCCTGTGGTCAGAAGAGAGGGTACTGGTTTCTGACCCATGGTAGCTTCAAGACCTCAATATTATCTTCCACATCTCACAGGGCTCCTGGTAAGTGAAAGATTTCAGTCCCTGCCTCTGAGACATTTCTCCTTCTCCAAACCATATAATGATGGTAGAACTAACTATTCATTGAACCCACTTAGTAATTTATACGTGTTTTGGATATATTATCTTCCCTTCCCCTCACCCCCCAGTTTTTGCTAAAAGGTGCATGCACTTACCAGAGAAAGAAAGAGAGAGAGAATGTGAGAAATCATCTCCCAGAAGGGATGACCACACCACTATCCCATCTCCTTTGTCCTCCTCTCAGGATTCTGGGCACACATGCACATGTACCTGGCAAAGTTTTTCAGGACTTGAACCACACATGAGCCACGTGGGATCCAGTTGCCTTAACCTCTACACCACCTGCTGGCCCAGTCACCTCATTTCATTTCTATCACAGCCCTACTTGTGAGTGAGATAGAGACTGCCAGCTGTCCTCCAGTGTATATTCTCCCCTTCTTCCATGGCTATACAATTTTTGGCCATATATATGGCCATTATATCTTAAATGTTTGTCCCTCTCAAAAACTCATGCTGAAATTTAATTGGTCATTATAACAGTATTAAGAAATAGGACCCATAGATGGTGTAATGGTTACATCACTGGATTCCCATGTAGTGGACCCTGGTTCAAGTCCTGGACTGGTGGCTTAAAACTCATGCCAGGTGCGTATGCATACATTTCCAAAATCTCAAGAGGAGAATGGAGGAAAAGAGAGAAGGGATTACAGCATGGCCATCCCCCCTGGTGGGTGATTTCTTGCTTTCTGTCTCTTTCTGTCTCTCTGGCAAGCACACGCACCCTATGGCAGAAATCTCTCTTAAAAAAAATTGGACATATAAAAGATGATTGGGTTACAGGGACTCCACCCTTCTGGGTGGGATTGGTGCCATGATAAAAGGACTAGTTCAGCCTCCATTTGCTCTTTCTTGCCCTTGTTATGACCCAGAAAGAAGACCTTTGCCAGGTGCCAACACCTTGATATTAAACTCCTCAGCATCCAGAATGACAAGCCATATAAACTTCTGTTCATAATAAATGATCCAAACTCAGGTATTCTGTTACAGCGAGCACAAAATGAGCAAAGACATGTAACCTAGTCAATATTTCCCATTCTCTCTCAAAGCTAGTCAGGGACAAGTGTGACTCAGTTCTGGTCAACAGAGTGTAAGCAAAAGTGTTATGTAATAGGTCCTAGGAGTCCTTAAAAACACTTTAGCTTTTTCATCCTCACTTCTTCGGTTACCTGGAAAGCAAATACAGTGTTGCCATCTTGGACCATGAGAAAGATGACACTCTAGTTGAACTTGAAGGATCTTGGATCCCTGAAAACTTAATGGAATCGAAACACTGCACTAGGCCTGGACTGGATATCTCTGATTTTATACATAGGAGAGAAATAAACTGTATTATCTAGGTCACTAATATGTTGGGCTTTTGCTTACTCATAAGCAAACTGATACAGTGACTATGATTATTTAGCTGCATTTCAGATTAGAAAAATCAAGATTCAAAAAAGCTAAGGAACTAGAGTAATCACATTCAGATAAAGTTCAGCTGAGGTGGCTTCAAATCCATGTCGCTGCCTCAAAGATGGTACTCTTAACCACTAAGCCAACTGTCCTCTCCAAACTGGGTGGAAAACTCCACAGCCTGGATCTCTTATCAGCCTAAAATAAGCAAGTATCTCTGGATCTTGAAAGGGCAGCTTATGATGTTAACTCGAATAGGTAAGGATGAAATGCCAGTATTTTAAGAAAAGACTTTGTTTTTTATGACCACTGAGTGCTATGCTACCCCATTAAGATGAATGAATGGTTAACATATATGTTCAAGTTCAGCAAATTCAATAAATATTCATTAATGACCTTTGGTGGGGCTGGCACTGTGAGATATCTTAAGAGGAACAAGACCTTTCTCTGTCCTGAGGGGCTTAAAATCCAGTTAGAGATGTGGGGCAGTCCCTGCTCTCTCACCCACAATAAGTAACAGGGGACATCTTGAAAAAAAACCTTTTTTTTTCAAGAGGTTTTTGCTATAGGGCATGTGTGCTCTCCAGAAAGACAGAGAGAGATAGAGAGACAGAAAGCGAAAAATCACCCCCGCCCCCGGGAGGGGATGTAATGGCCACGCCTCAATCCCCTCTCCTCCATTCTCCTCTCAGGATCTTGGGCACACACGTACATGCGCCCAGTGTGAGTTTAAGCCACCAGGTCCAGGACTCGAACCACGGTCACCTACATGGGAGTCCACCGACATAGCCATCACGCCAGTTGCCTGCTGGTCCCCCCCGCTTTTTTTTTCTTCCAAATTTTTAAAGACTTCAGTGTTATAAACTTGCTCCTGCTTAGTTGGTGGTCATATTTGCAACTCTTCATTCTCTATTTGTCAGGAAATATTTATTGAGGAAATGAAACAAAAATGTGAGGTCATGCAACATTGAAGCTGACTTCGACTTCTGTTTCCTTCTCTTTCTACGTCAATCCCTATAAATTTTTCCTACTACAATTTTCCCAAACCACTATCTTTCCCATAACCAAGTTAACTCCAGAGTTGGATGAAATTCCCCACAAAGCTTGATGCATATTATAAATCTTTATCAGAGACATAAAACATACTTTAGGGATGTCAGAGTAATAAAGGCACCAGATATGTGAACATTTTAAATGACCCAAGAACTGACTTAACAGGGTCCTCTCACATGATGCAAAATTGGGCATAAAAGTGTTAGAAAGCAAGGGCTTCAGGAAGTCATAACAAGCGTGGAGGTAGAGAAAAAAACCCAGAGTAAACACTGCTTTCCCGGGAGAATAAGAAAGAGGCAGAGTTTGAGCTAAAGGTCACTGAAAGTGGAGGTAGTAGAAGATATTGCTCAAAATTAGGAAAAACCCAAACAAATTAAAACAAAATTTGTTTTTTGACAAAAACAAATAAGGAAACAGAAGAATATGGACTATCCCCTATGGGAACTTTCATCCTTCAGAAACTGTAAAGGAGATTCGCTAATTAGAAAGGCTTTACATTTTGGGGTCAGATCAGCATTGGGTTGGCTCCAGAGAGCAGAACCACCTCGAATTTTGAAGAAGATCTAGAAGACTGCCAAGGGCAGGTGTTCCCTAAGTTTGAGGGTTCAAAGGCTGGCTTGAGGAAATCAGAGGTTGAATGAAAAAGTTCATACACAGTTTTTAAAATGTTTTTATTTTTATTTATTTATTTGTCAGAAGGCAAATTCATTGACCAAAGGGAGAATAAGAAAAAAAAAAAATCCCCAATGCAGTGTGATCATGCTGTAATCATTTTTCTCCATGTCTCCATCATGCCAGGATTTGGGGCACATATTCAGACTTTTTTTTTTTTTTTTTTTTTTGAGGGTTTGTTTTGTTTTTCTATAGGGCACAGGCACTCGCCAGAAAGACAGAGAGACAGAAAGCGAGAAATCACCTCCCCCCCGGGCGGGAGCCGCCATGCTGCAATCCCTTCTCCTTCACTAGGCACTCATGCACACGCGCCCGGTGTGAGTTTAAGCCACCAGGTCTGGGACTTGAACCGTGGTTGGCTACATGGGAGTCCAGTGACATAGCCATTATGCCATCTGCTGGTCCCAACACAGTGTGTTTTTCAAGCTGCTGGGGCTAGGATTTGAACCATGGTCAGTCATGTGGCATCTGGTTCTCCATGCATGGGGCTTAACCAGTGTGCTATGGGGCTTGCTCAGACTTAAGTAACACAGGCATAGTTGGAAGCAATGAGTAAGCTGTCTCCCTTTAAGCGATCTACCTTTAAATGGTCATAGACTATTCACTGGCTTTCTCACATTGAGGCTATGGGTACCACGAATGGCTTACTGGGCATATACTCCCCCATTTTCCTTTTAACCAGCAAATATGTATTTAACACAGCACACACATCTCATTGAAATGGGCTCTGAATTTGTGCCAATAATTCAATGCAGCCACCCTGGGTGACAAGATAGGAATGGAGGGAGTTAACTTAGTGTGCCGAGTGATAACTAACATTCACTGCACACTTACTGATTGCTCAGTGCTTTATACACATTATCTCAGTCCTCACAACGCTGTGAGGTAGATATGATAGCAAGTTCCATGTTATAGAAATCTAGGCTGAACAATTGAAGGGCTGACCCGAGTTACACAGCCTACGAGTGCAGAATAGGAACATCTACCTCTGTTGGCGAAGCCAGGGCTCTGACCACTGCTCTTTGTACCAGACACAAAGAACAGATATGCTTTAGATATTGTTCCTGGACAGCACATCTAGTGTTCACCTCATTGTGGAGAGGCAGATACCAGTGTGCCCCCTTTCACATGAGGAAACAGAAGCCAGGGGAAATAACCGATCTGCCACTGGTCAAGGAGCCAGTGAGTAGAAGCACTGGGACTCAGGGCTTTTATTCCCTGCCCACAGCTCTTTCTTCTCTCAGTGGAGGGCAGTGGTGTCCAGGGGCTTGTCTGCTCAGAAGCTTGTATTCCTTCCATACGGGCAACAAGAATGTCAGAGAGGAACTCAGGAACCTGGGATTTAAATAGCTCCTACAAGCAATTTGTGGAAGAGACCAAAGAAACCCAATCCACAACTTAGCCCTGAATCTCAGCAAATCAAAGGGACTCACCCTCTCCAGACCTTTAGCAGAAGCCACTGGACGTTGGGACCAGCAGTTGGTGTAATGGCTACATTGCTGGACTCCTATGTATTCGAACGTGGTTCATGTCCTGGACCTTGTGGCTTAAATTCACACTGGGCGCATGTGCATGCATGCCCAAGGTCCCGAGAAGAGAATGGAGGAGAAGGGATTGTGGCGTGGCCAACTCCCTCGGGGGGTGATTTCTTACTCTCTGTCTCTGTCTTTCTGGCAAGCACACACACCCTATAACAAAAAAGAAAAACTCTCCGAAAAGAAAAGGAAAAAAAAACGAAGCCATTGGATGTGTTCTGGTCCAGACTCCAACTTACAGGGAAGTAACTTTGGCACATTTTGTGAAGCTGGCACTTTCCTCAAACAATGACAGTGACCAAGTAAACCATCAGGCAGCAGAGAAAAATGGGAAATCCCAGGCTGACTCAGTCCACTGGGCCTGGAGCCTGTCTGCACCTCCCTCCACCCCAATTTCCCTGATGCCTCTTCTGCACTCACGGTTCTGAATGGTGATCTTGCGCTGCCGGTAATCCACTCCCAGCACGGGTTCATTCTGCCCCCGCCTCTGGGCCACGATGCGAACTTCCCGCTGGTTGTCATTGCAGTCATTGGATGGGTCTTGGCCCAGGGATAAAGCTGCCTGGTATGCTGAGGAGAGGGCAGACCCATGAGTCACACAGCAATGGAGGATGTCCATGAGGAAAGGCACCCTTCTGGCTCCTTGGGGCAATGAAATTTCTCAACTTTTCCCAAACCTATGTATCCTGAGAATCCCATTAAACAGGAAAATGGTGATTCTGCAGGTCTGGAGTAGGACACAGGTTCTGACTTGTAATAAGTTCCCAGATAATGCCAACGAGCCACAGCTGTTAGTAAGAACCACACTTGGAGCAGCGAGACTCCGGGATCCTCCAAATGGACCATTGTTTCATCCTGGGGGTATCTCCACTCATCTCAATTTCCCCTGTCTCATTTCTCAAGTCATCCTGGCCTCTGCTCCCCTGTCCTTACAACAAAAGGTTTGAGAGCTGTGAAATTTGCTGGTGGCCAACATCTACTACCCTAGTCTCTCCTCCCTTCCCATTAAACCAGGCATTTTGACACTAACTCCCAGGGAAAAAATGACTCAATTTAGAGCAGCGCCTTCAGGAGAAAATGTCATGCTTGGAAGGTGGTTCTAACAGTCAGCTTTTGTGCTTCTACTCAAATCATACTGGGAAACATCAGCCCCAGAGCTGTCCAAGGCTGACCATCAGTTTCTGGGTTCCTTGTTCTTTGAGAGAGGGGAGACTGGGCAGCTAGGGAAGGTCTTTGACCCCAGACAGCGGAACTGACCCCAGTGGGGCAGCTGTTACTGGGAGGTAGGGCTTGGCTAAACAGAAGGGGAAGCTGTACAGCACTAAGAGAAGGCCAGTGACACGCAGCTAGCCTGGGGGCAGGGAGCTCTCCACCGCTGAGTATGTCCAGTCAGCAGAGGACAGACTATCCCCAGGAAGGCTTCTGGATAAAGGAAGGTGCTAGTGGACAGGAGGTTTCACAGATGGCCGCTGAGGGAGTGTGCACCCCAAAGAGTGTAGGAGTCTGTGTCTACACTCATGGGCAATGGGGGGATGGAGGGTGTGGGAGTTGGGTTGGCCTCAACAGCTCAGCACATTGGTAGGGAACCAAGAATGGCCACAAAAGCATCTTGCTCTGTCCTTAATGTGTGAATTGCCTTAAATCTTTTTATAATAAGATGGGACAAAACTTTTTTTTTTTTTTAGAGGTTTTTGCTACAGGGCTTGTGCACTCGCCAGAAAGATAGAGACAGAAAGTGAGAAATCACCCCCCAGAGGGGATGGTCACGCCACAATCCCTTCTCCATTCCCCTTGGGATCTTGGGCATGCTTGCACACACCCCCGACGTAAGTTTAAGCCACCAAGTCTGGGACTCGAATCGCGATTGACTACATGGGAGTTCAGCGACATAGTCATTACGCTCGCTAACTGCAGGTCCCAGGACAAAACATTTTAAAAATAAACTAGTATGGGGCCAGCAGGTTGTATGGTGGTTAAGGTGCTGGACTCCCACATGGCTGACTACAGTTCAAGTCCCAGACCCAGTGGCTTGAAATCACACCAGGAGTGTGTGAGTGCATGCATGCGTGCCCAAAATCCTGAGAGAAGAGTGGAGGTGAAGGGATTGTGATGTGGTCATCACCCCCAGGGGTGTTGCTCACTCTTCCTCTCACTGTTTCTCTCTGTCTCTCTCCAGGAGGTGCATACGCCCAATGTTAAAAACCTAAATAAATAAATAAACAAGCAAACTACAGTGTGACTTTGAGCAAGTTGTTTCATCAGCTTGGGCTCAGTTTGTTTGCCTATAAGGGGAAGGGGCTACATTAGGTGATATTTGTGGCTCTCACTACAAGAATGTGTGATCCTAAATAATTTCTAAAGCCTAAGGGCAGTACATCACAGAGGTGCCTGGGACCAGGAAAGGACAAGAGGAGGGAGGACACTCACATGCAGAATAGTAGTCAAAGATGGGGTCCTTGCAGAAGGACTTGAAGCGCCAGGTCACCACCACATCCTGAAGCTGAGCAGAGGTGGTGTAGTCACATTTGAGGACGACGGAGGCAAACAGGGTGACGTAGCGCTCTGTGTGCTGAACTGTCACCAGCAAGGACAGACACCCTGAAGCCAAGAGCAGGAAACAATGTTGAAGGTGACCTACTTTACAGGGTAATAAAAGCAATGGAAATGAGCAAAACACACTGCTTGCCCTCCTGCCTGACTGGTTGAGAGCTCATGGTTGAGCTTGAGCTCCTACTGGGCCTGGGCAGGGCATGGGGTGGGGAGGAGGGCACATTTGCTGCCCTGAGGAAGGTCTAGGAAGAGAGCACTAGGGCTAACTCCTGAGAACTCAGTCCATGAACAGTGGTCACCCATGTGACGATAAAAGAATTGTGTTAAAATACGGCCATATATATGCATACACACATACACACATGCACATGCACACACACATACATGATTTGATATAAGGCCATATTTGTATTGAAGTGACACTGCTTTTATACACACACACACACACACACACACACATACAGAGAGAGAGAGAGAGAGAAAATTAAGACATTTCATTGCCCCGAGGAGCAAGAAGGGCACTTCTTCATGAGAATCCCCCATTGCGTATGTATATATGTGTGTATATCTTCTCATTCCAGTACACATATGGCCTTGTAATGGAATACACATACACACACATATACAAACACATATATGCATGACTTTTTGTGATAGAAAGCACATGTGCATGCCAGAGGGAAAAACATCTTTGACAGAATCTCTCATCACACTGCGGTTCCCTTTCCTCAGGCCTCCAGCCTCAGGTCCTAGGTACCCATATGTGTTTCCAGTATGTTTTCAGCCCAACCCAGGGATCTGAACCTACAGTCTAGCAAATGGCTTCCAGCCCTGAGGGCATTTGTGTTACCCTACACTGTAGCAGCTGGGCCAACTATTAATAATATGTATATGTTTTTCATGTCACTTCTCTTAAAGTGAGTCCATGTTTTCCTAAGGGTAAAGCCCAGCCTCCGTAACCAGGCCTGTGTGGCCAGGTGGGATTACTTCTGGCCATTCTGGGCTGCCTCGTCTCTCTTCATACCCTGCATCACACTCACGGCTTCAGCCTTTCTGAACTCACTTCGGTCCTTCCTGCGCTAGAATGAGTCTCTTCAAGTCTTTGGCCGGGAAGCCCTCAGCCTGGGGTGTTCTTCTGTATCACCAGCCACTACTCTGCTCTCTTCTGGGCTAACTACTATGGATTCTCTTATGTTTTCCACTCAACCCTCGCTTCCTCTAAAAGCCGTCCTGACTGCAAGTGTGGGAGAGAGGGCTCCCTCTGTTTCCCCAGACAGCACTTTTCAAGTTCTTGGTGATGCTCTGCTTACTATAGGCTCTAAGAAGGCTGACTGAGTTCGTTTCTAACCCACTGTTTGGACACTAGCACCTCTGCCATGCCTGTCACCTACTGATACCCAACAAATGTTTGTTGAATAAATGACTAAGAATACATCAACCGGTGGCAATCTGGCATGATAGGCAATCAACATAAGTGGGGCAAATAAATAAAAATAATCAGACTGTGATAAACTGTATCAAGAAAGACTTCAAGGAATTCAGGGGTTTTTGTTATTGTTTTGTTTTTCTTTTTTAAAAATTCCTTCTCGCTACCCTCCAAATTTATTTATATACAAACTTAAAGCTCTCAGGTGTGCCTTGATGAGGAGCCAGGTGGTTCACAAAGGCTACATGGGGGAATCAGCAGTTAGTGTAATGGCTATGTCGCTGGACTCCCACGTAGTCGACCGCAGTTCGCGTCCTGGACCCGGTGGCTTAAAACTCACGCCGGGTGCATGTGCGTGTGTGCCCAAGATCCCGAGAGGAGAATGGAGGAGAAGGGATTGCAGCGTGACCATCCCCCCTGGGGGGTGATTTCTTGCTTTCTGTCTCTACGTCTCTCTCTGTCTGACTGGCGAGCGCATGCGCCCTATAGCGAAAACTTCTCCAAAAAAAAAGAAATGCTACATGGGACTTCACTGTGGTCAGAGCTCCGTAGGTAACTAGCATCTTGGAAGGTTCTCATGTCAGAATGGTTCCTAGGCTGAGTTATCAGGAGTTCCTCTTGTGGGAGGTTGAGCGTAGAGCAATAGTACTCAAACTTGAGTGTGTGTCACCAGGACTTGTGACAGACCAGACGGCAGGGACCTAGGCCAAGAGTCTCTGATTCAGTAAAACTTGGCTGAGGTCTAAAGACTTTCATTTCTGACAAATTTCCAGGAGATGCTGATGCTACTGCTCTGGGGACCATACTTTGAGAACCACTGGTGTAGGCTGAACAACATAAAACCCCTCAGGCTCTGAACTGAGACACAACGGGGTTCTAACAAAACTGTTATTACTTACCTGGAGACTGGACAGGTTATTTACTCTCTCTGAGCTGTTTCCTCAGCTATTAATGGAAATGGTGATAGTACTAACTGCACCAGGGCCTTCCAAGAATGTGATGATAATCCACTTCTAGTGCTTGGCCTGGTGCATAACCTGCTGGTTAGTGTTAGCATCTGGGTCTCCTCCCTCTTTTCTTTCATTAAGAGGGCCAGGGAGGAGCAGTTTGGTGCTGGGGTTTTCTCCAAAAGAGTTCTCAGGTAAAGTCACCTTCATTTAGACTGCATCACTCTCACAAACAAAACAATAATCAGCCCTTTACAGAGCAGCTAGGTGGGGCTGTCTGGATGGCTAGAGCCATATGACTCACCTTCTAGCCATCACCCTCACAGTGAGTCCCCTGAAGCTTAGGATGGGCAGAGAGCAGAATGCTCTCAGGACGGGATCTAGGCCCCGGAGGTCACACCTGGCCTATGTCTAGGTATAGGGCTATGATGAAAATTCCCCCAGGACAGCTGTGCTGGGAGAAGCTCTGCAGCTGTGCCAGGAGAAGTGTAAGGAGACTTCACAAAAGGGAGAGGTCTAAACTAGATCCTAAAGCTCAGGCAGGATTAAGATTACACACGAGCGGTAGGGGAAGGCAGAAGAACTCATCATTTCAATAAGGGAGAAAGGAGAGAGCAACAACCCTTATCAGGCTGTTGGGTAATCTGGAGGAGAGCAATCTATTAATAGTTGGGCTCTCTGGCTCTAAAGGAGACAGAGGGGATAAACAAGGCAGGCGGGCAGAGGAGCTGATGGTATAAAGTCTAAATCACAATCCAGTGTCCATTTCTAGACCATGGATAAGCACTGAAGACTTCTTTACAGAAGAGTAATAGGATGCAAGTGGTGTTTTTAGGAAGATAAATAACTTCCCTAGTTGGCTGTGAATGTAAAAAGAACGTCATTTTGAGACTAAACCTTGAGTAGTTAGGGGAAAATAGTTACTGTCTCTGCCAGCGATGGGGTTCCCAGAAATCAAGCCAATTAGAACAGGAGGGTCAGTGGCCAGTATCTGAAACCTGAAGTGGATAATTTCACAGTCTGATTTTTTATTCTTGTGCCTCATCTCGCACTATCCCTTTGTATTTTTTCCAAAACTGACCTGTAGCTACTTTCTACTGTGCAGTTAAAGCTGTGAAATTTTCACCCATCACAGCTTTCACTTAAGCTACAGGGAAGAGTTGACAATGAATGGGGATGCGATTGTCAACATGAGCGTATTTTGCTCAATAAAATGTACTCACTGGAATAGAGAGGAAAACATCAGTCTGTGGTCTAAACAAAACCCTAGGTTCGCATGTTTTCAAATACTTTCTTTTACAAGCTAACTCACACTAAATGTGATCCCTGGGAGGAGACCAGCTGTGTCCCCTTCCTATACGACACAGGGAGTGTTAGAAAAGTGAAGTTGGCTTTCCTGTGTTCATATATTTGCTAAGAGGGTCAGAGTCAAGACTGGGTCCCTGAGTAGTGCTCTGGCCATTCAGCCTGGCTCCTCTTTAAAGAAAAGATGACAACTGGCATTCATAAGTTTGCAAATAACAGAGTTTGGGGGCCTGGCTATGCAAGTAATAATTAAGAATACAACTGGCAGCAGTCACTCCTATAGTGATTAATAACCTATGTGTTCTTCATTTGACTAAGTGATCATTTGAATAAATTACAGTTTATTCACATTCTAGGCAATATTGCCAGACAAAGCTGGAACATTTAGAAAGGAGAGGGTTTGACTTTCCTGGGCATCAGAAAAAGGAATTTGGAGGAACCAGCAGATGGTTGGTTATGTGGCTGGACTTCCACGTAGTCAATCGCGATTTGGGTCCTGAATCCGGTGGCTTGAAACTCACTCTGGGCATTGTGTGAGTGTCTGAAATCTTGAAAGGAGAAGGGACTAAGGCATGGCCATACCCTTTGGTGGGTAATTTCTCATTTCTTTCTCTCTGTCTCTCTCTTTGTCTCTCTGGCAAGCACATACACCCTATAGCAAAAATCTAAGGAAAAAAAAACAAGAAAAAGGAAAAAGGAATTCAGAGTCAAAAGTTGCTCTGGGATAACTGAAGTTGGCTGAATCTGACACTGTTGAGGGGGGAGGCAGAGACAAGGGTGATCCCTCAGCAGCCCTGACATGAATTGCCTTGATTATGGGCAAACCACACCTACAGTGACACGACTCACGTTTACCAACGTCAGTACTGGCTTTGCAGCTTGGGTACTCTTTAATTCTCTCTTGTATTTCACTCCTAACTTGAATTTCAAGCCTTCAAATAGGCCAAGTTCTCACATGTTCTCAGCATGCTGAGCTCACTCACGCTCCCTCCTGGAATCTGCAGACCCCACAGCATCCTGCGCGGACTCACATTTTCACTCACCCTGCCCTCCTCATCCCCACCACACACACACACACACACAAACACACGACAGGGCAAAGTCCTAGGATAAGACCTATGAGCAACTTGGAGTTGGCAGGTGGCGGGGTGGTTAAGGGAGCTGGACTCCCACATGACCGACTATGGATCGAGTCCTGAACCTGGCAGCTTGCTTTCTTACTTTTTTTTTCTCTCTCTGTACCTCTCTGATCAAATTAGAAGGAAGGAAGGAAGGAAAGAAAGAAAGTAAAATAATTCTTTAAAAATAAAAAGACATACGAACAACCTAGTAAACTCCTCTCTTCTTCTCACTGGTGCAGCTGGTCCTCA